AAATGATAGGAAGTGGTGCATAGGGTACAAAAAATGTGCAGTTATTAAGTGCAAGTTGAGTGAATTATTAAGGTATGTTGCATTTACCATTCCTGATTGGAATTATATTAAAAAATTGCATAAATCATAGATGTTTGAAGATGGAAAATATTGATATGTACAAATGATGCATAGATAATTTAGGCCACTTAATGATTATTATTATAAATTTTTGTAAAATTGAAGTAATCATTATTGTTATCATATTTTCGCGCCACTTTTCAAGTACCCAGAAGTGCGGGAACATATTTAAATTTGAAATTTAATTAAGAAGACGTAATACTAAAGGCACCGAATTAATTTGTAAACTTAATATATTTGATTCTTGATTGATTATTAAATGAGACTATCAAATGATCTTCTTCGAATATTTTCGATTATTATAACAGGAAATAGGTGTTCTGTTTTCGATGGCTCCATTAAGCTTCACAAATAGATAGAGTGAAAACAGAGCAAGAATGTTAATGAACCAATTCCTAAAATACCCATATCACTTCTCACTCGATCACTATGTTTTCTGACATTTATTGCAAACAAAATTTACGTCGATTTCACACCAAATATTTCTTCAAAAATCCGTTATAATTACCAATCATTTTAGTACAGTGAAAGTCTTTGTCAAAAAACCTCATTGGGTATTCAGAAGATGTACGTCGACTTCACCTTAGAGAATTCCTGCGAAGTGCATCGAAATCTTGATCAATATTTGCTGGGTCTTTATCGAAAATTTCTTCAAACCTTTGGAAAATCTACCTCGACGTCTCTCTAAGGATTTCTTTAAAGTATATTGCAATCTCGCTCGGTATATACCGCAAATTTTTATCGAAGATTCCAGCGATTATTCAGAGAATCTACTTCCATTTCTGCCAGAAGGATTTTGCTTTTCAAAGAATTCTTTGGAAATATCCTTCAATTACGATTAATATTTATGGTGAATTTATTTCGATTACGAAGTAAATCTATTTTTTATAAAAACTTTAAATAGTTTTTATATTTAATATTTATTGTAAAGAACCTTTCAATTAGAAATTTTTTAAATTTCACTGAAATTATAATTAATAACAAATATGATAAAATATTGTACAACAAAATTAATATTAGCTTTACAAATTAATTCGGTGCCTATAGCAGACTATCTTAACCCTCGGACCATGGAGAGAGCTCCAAGTTTTTAAATTAGCTTCATTTTTTAAATTATACACTATTCTTTTGAAAATTATTCTTTCAATATATGAAATCCTTTCGTTTAAAAATTATGTTTTGTAAGTTTGGGTCTCGATTGACCCAGATTCTATTTTCCCGTGCTTTTGAAAAGTGTCGCGAAAATATAATAATCCAAACGATTATTCCAATAATTAGAGTATAATATAATTAAAAAAAGGAAAAGAAAAAATTTCAAATTATGGCGGAGTCCACAGAACTATAGAAAAATATATATTAGTTTCTACAATTCCTAAGAATTTCTCGTTTAAACAGGAAACAATTTCCGCAAATGGAACATCCCTGTTCCGACTTTCGAATTACCGAAATCGAATTCGAACTTTTGCCGAGTCTCGAAAAGGGTTGGTATTTTAAGTCGTCTTCGAGCTCGCTTGCGGTTGACACTTCGAGATAGTGGCTGTGTGTTGTGCACACACGAGTCGGGAACGAGAGGAGAGAGAAGAGAAGAAGAAGAAGAAAAAAAAAGAAAAATTAACATCCGCGGAGAAGATAGCGGGCTTATCGTCCGTATGCCAGACAACCGGCACCAGTCGAGTTTCGTACCTCGATCGGCTTAGACGAAATCGTCTCGGGATCCGTTCAAGTTTTATCCTTAATCCTCGATCGATCCTCATCGTGCTCTAATTTCACTCTAAAAAACATTGTGTTACGTTACAGTGAATGAAATCTAGGAATTTTCCGCGAATCAACGCGTTCGAAGAACATGAAACAGTGAACGGTTCGTGCTCTCTTGTGATATCGTTCGTTTCCGAGGATTTTTAGCTGAATAAACAAGGGTTCTGTAATTTAAAAAAGAAGAAAGGTGATTTCGAAAGTCTGTGCTATATTTTGGAATATCTTTGGATTGGATTGAACCGTGGAATAGGAATTTTTGTTGATCTTTTTGGACTGGTAGTTTCTTCTTTTGTGCAACGAAGCATTTTCTGAAAATATCGAAAAGGTTTAGAGATTGGGCCGAAAAAGTGATTCTATTAAATTTTGAATTCTCTGTAAAAGTGACTTTGATAATAAGGTTTTTGATTTTCGAAATGGTTTTTGTTATCTTGTAATTTTATTATCTGCTTAATCGCTTGTACTTATCTGCATTATTGTCTCATATGTATTTTTGTTCTTTAGGTTGTTTGATTAGCTGTATCTTAAATGAATAATTTCAAATTTTTCATACTTATTTGAATAGATATTATTGAAGTCGATTGTAATTTTTTTTCCTTGTTTCAATTTAATTATTTGATACATAATCTTCTGGAACAGAGAGATATTTGGTATCTTAGTGAAACATTTCATGGGTCGTGGAATTTGTACTAATTAACCGCTTAATCTTTATTTTTCCACATTTCATATACGTAACAGTGTTACATAAATTCGGATATAAATTAACTTGACACACATTCCTTTAAATTATCTAAAATTCTTATATGTTCTCCAGTAATAATTCATATGGAATTCACTGTGCATTTTTTTAATTAAAAAAGTACAAAATTAATTTATACATCTAATAATTTTTCAAATGATCAACTAGAACTCTAAAGTACTAAAATTTAAGAACACTCATCCATTTTTTAAATAACAATTACCCAAAATACAGATCAGGCTAATAAAATGAAAAAAAAGAAAAAATTAAAATTAATTAAAATTGTCTCAGATTGTGATAGAACAATGTCTTGAAAAATTTGTAGGGGACTGAGTGTAAAAGGAAAAATTATTCGTCGTTTCCCAAAGTTAGCCGGTACATAAAAGAGTAGGCAGGTTCTCGTGAAAAATCTCCCTAAAATATTTACACGGCGATCTCGAGTGCGCCCGTCGCGAGTGTAGAATTATTAAGACGGATAAGAGGGAAGGAGAGACAGGATAAAGAGGAAAAAAATGTAGTGACGGATGCAGTCGCCGAGAAAACTGCCTCGAGGGGCTGCATCGCGAGGATTCGTACGCTCGCTACACGGATGTACGAGCTAAAAATTTCTTCTCCGCCTCGGACCTCCGCGAGTTAAGCCGGAGGAGGGCTGGCGAGCATATTCATACGCGTTCACGCCGGCTGTCTACTTTATTTTCGGTTCTTCCTGCGGACTCCTCTCGTCTCGACACCATTGGCGTCACACAGACCCCGAAAAACTCGTCGCGAGAAACACACCCGTGAAATTCCGCCTCGACGTCGCCTGTCCCTGTCGTCACTGAAAAGCGTTTCCTTTCGTCCCAAAATTGCTACCTCCCTCTTCTAACTGCTCCTTAAAGATCCACCATGTGACTTTGGAAAATTTGAGTAGAGTCCATAATAGACACAATTTTATTATGCATTTGGTTTAAATTTTTGTTTGCTGACAAATTTGCATATGTCAGTGTTGACGTGTTGCATTCATTGCATTCAGTTGCATCCCTAAGATTGCATCTGTAAATGCACAGTAATTTTGATAAATGTTTATGAGGTTGGTTGTTACATTTAAATATTTTATTCATTATTAATGAGATTGAAATCTGCTACAGAAATTTTTTACATTGTTATGTATCCTTTAATTAAGAAGAAACTGTCTTTAATTGTTCCCATGAATTTTTTTTCTTTTTGATTTTTTGACTGAAATTTATTTTGAGGCATTAGAAATTATTGATTATATAACTTTTCGCTTCTATTTCACATTTATCGTTTTTAGGAATTATTCTTCACTTAAGTTTGGAGCCTAAACACACTCCTATCTCTACGTTTATATTGTCCTTTGGAGCGGCAGAAAATCCTCTTATCCTTACGGTAGTTTGCACTTCAGATGGCAAGTGGATTCATTTATTTTTCTCTTCCGGTTGGCAGTGATTGTTTTCCTTCTGCGTAGACCACCTGAGTCGGTCCTTTATAGAAATTTTGTCCCAAGAAGAGGTCTAGACTCCACTAGCGGCCCGAAATTTTTCCCCAAATATACGCGGTCGCTTTCTACAACACGTGTTTCAACCATGTGTTACAACGTCCTCAGGTTTCGTATATAAAAATCACGGACAGCCTGAATTTTGTAAGAACGTGTCCAAGAACGAGAGCGTTAGACGACATACTTTCTTTTTTAACAAAAAATACCTTCCTCAGTCGAATTTTGCGATGTTCTTGGAATATGTAATGGTTTTGTTGTAAATTCAACTCGTGTTTGGTACTTTTTCAATGTCTCGAAAAGTGAATGTGTTTTGCTGTTTATTCGAAGGCTATTCAGACTTTTAACCTTCTCCAGAATTTGTAGTAAATTGGATTTTAAATCACTGTTTTCTTTTAAGACTTTTGAAACATCCACTCCGATCAATTAGAATAATTCTAGAATCGTGATTTCCATTTTTGCATTGTCTTATATATATTTTTATTTATTTCTGAAAAATTAAGATTTTAAAAATTTCTCCTTCCCATATAATACCATTTTCTCTTGGAAATCCTATTATGCTCGATATTGTACAAATTAATTAATTGCCTTTAGTATTACGCATATTTTTAAATTTGAATATTTCCCTGGGCCTGTACATTTGAAAAATGGTGCCAATTACCTCGACTTTTTAAAAATAAATCTTCAATTAAAAAAAGGAAAGGCTCAATATTAATTTATGCATCTGATAAAATATATAATAAATATTTTTATAAATAGTTTTTTAGAATTTTGTTGGACTGTAATGTTTCGCATTAATATTAATTACAGTACAATGTGTAACGTGTACTATTGAGTCGATTCTTTCCTTAAAATCATAAATGATATCAAGTAGGTATAACGTAACATATGACGCACGTTTATTCAACTGTTTTGTTGTATGAATAATTTATCACCTTCCTTGGTTTTCTTTATGTCTCGTTCCTTTTAAGAAGAACTATGCCAGCTCGACTGAATGTACCTTTTCTTTTTTTGAAAATAACAAATTTACGTCACAGTTGTTTTACAATTCAAGCTTCTAAATAAGCGAATTATTATTGTCCCTCGGAGTGTTCATTCATGTTACAGAGAAGTTGGATTTTTAAATTTAAAATGCTGCAAATAAAAAGTCCGCCTGTTATTTTAAAAAAGCGATTTTTCTTGGCGAAACGTAGCTTACATAAGCAAAAGTGAATCGCGCGATGAAACTTTGACATTTAACCCACAATACTGTTTTTCATTTTCGAAATAACAACAGAAACTCTATTTTTACTATCTTCTCACATTACCATTTTGACATTTCACAATTTTGAAATAATGTTTATAATTAATCCGACTGAAAGATCAACGCTTAAAATTAGTTTCCGCGCTTTCCAGTGAATTTTATTACTTACTACCTCTTTTACCTCAATTTCATTAATTACAATATCAAATGACGTAGTCTGTATAAATAAATTTACCTCGGAAAGTTCAACGTTCACCCTTTACATTCTTCGTTCTCTTCATAATGTCGAGAGTTGTGAATTATTACGTTATTTTACCATATTTCACTGTTCATTTTCCTGTTTATTCTCTCTGGTTTGTACTCTTCTGATTACAATTCCAACATAATCTCCGTAGATGAAATTAATTAGCAACTTAACTCTCATCTATTGTATACTGTTTATTTTCAAAACATTAATCAAAAATATTGACGTTTGTTCTCTGATTCTATCGATTGCAATTTGTTTAAATGAATTCTATTTGCAATTCGAAGTTCAAGTATTGATCATTTATTTGACTTCTCCAAAAATAAAAGGAATTAATATTCTTTATTATCCTATAGTTTAATTTAAATTTTGTATTTCACTGTTTCGATTAGAATTTCTGTATATTTGAAAAATGGCGCGAGAATATAATAACAATAATAATGACTTAAAAAAAAAAAGGAAGTCAGAATTAATTTCTGCATTATAACCACAACCAAAAAATAATTTTTTAATTATTTTCAATCAAATTGTCTTTAATTATCGATAACAATTTCGATCGTTTGATCGCTGGTTCGTCAAGTGTCGTCGAAACTCACGTTGACGATCGCTGAACGTTCTCCATTAGACTATGATAACACTATCACAGCCGTTCCATTTTACGTGTCCCATGCGATCTAACATCCAGATATCGTGGTCGTGTTCCTCTACGTCACTGTGTGCGTAGTCACGTGACGACCAGTCGAGTCACTCTTTGGCCCTGAAGAATCGTGAACGATTCAGTTTATCGTGACCCGCGATGTGCTCGGGACGGTGCGTTCGTTCTCGGACATAGGCCATTTTGAACGAGTTGGTTACTTTAAAAAATCATCCAAAGATATCCCACTTTTCATATATTCATGATTAGATAGATTATTTGATCATAGACAGTAATTTAGTAGTGACATTTTGAAGTGTGCCATTTTTACCATTAGTTCCATTCGAGCATCGAAGTAATGGAATTTTCTAAAAATAATTCACAGTGGATAAAAGAATATTGGCATTTACTTGAAATAATTTTATTTTACTTAATTTATTAATTTCTAGCGCAGTTTCTATTTTAAAATACCATTTTCATTCTAACTTCTAAGAGTGCCAATATGTCTTCAATCCACTGTATACTTCATACAATTAAATAAATTTACAACTGGAATTAAATAAAAATTTTATCTTCAGTAGATTAAGTGTATCTTTTGGCAATTTTTTCTATTGAAACTCAAATTCTTTCTTGTACCTAAAGAAAGGTGAAAGCCAGAGGATAATTAAGTGCAATTGATAGTTCCGTTCGGTGCATTCTCGTGGTTATTGGAAAAAGTGAGCCTCGAAGAGAAATTGTAACTATTTCGTGATTTTTCTGGTGTAGTTTTTTTTCCAAAGAAGTGATTCAGTGGTTAATACAAGTTTGAGAGAAAGTGAGGAACAAAGAGACGAGAATGAGGGGCAAAAGTGTGCTGAAAGGTACACAGTGAGATGGAGAGGGAAAACAGCGGGGCAACAAGAAACGAAGAATCTTGATCCACGAAGATGTTGAAACACATGAATCGAACCGGACGACCTCGGGTGGTCGTGAGGAAGAGAAAAGGTCGTTCGTTATCCAGAAGCTGGCCCGGTACACCGAGGCCCTTATCGGTCGTCTCGAACGAGGTAAAAAGACTTGTTTCGTAATTAAGGAAGTCGATGGGTATTCGTCTGCTCTCCTATCTTAACGGAGCCACTCTGTTTCTCAATAAGCACTGTAATCAATAAATAATCACTATCAGAGATGTACGAAAGGCACGGTGCATTTATCAGGCTGTTTTAGATAAAATAGCTAATTTATTTGCAACTGTCTAAGTAGTTTGGTCTAAAACAGAGAAATTTAATAGCCAAAAGAAAATTAAGTATTTTAAATTACAAAATTTTAATTGAGTTTAATATCCTTGTATATATTTAATAAAGGATCATGATTAACCCAAACTCTTCAAGCTTTCAAGGCTTAATTGCTTAAATATTTGACTCAAGGAACAATTATATATTAAAGTAGAATCCTCGATAAGAATCTGAGAATTTTTTCAAATTCTGCCCAAACTGCCCAGGAAGAGTTAAAATTCGTCACTCAATCTAAAAGTAAATTGATTAAATATTTCTGTAGACATTTTTATCAAATTTTAAACTTGAAGTTTGCATATCTTAAATGCTATTTTCTGATATTTTTCTGTTGTCAAATCTTGTCAGACTCTTTACCTTTCGAAATCAACAGGCTAATACATATTCCGGTGCAAATATTATTTTGAATTATTTTCATGCTTCAATCGAATGATAAATCAGTGGAATTTTCTTTCGTTAACACTTTTAGGGTTGAATGGAACGTAATAACACCTAGGTATCTAAGTAATAATTTTGTGTTATTTTCAACAAATTTTAGTTTTATTTTTGGCAACATTCTTTAGATGCCTGTTAATAAATTATACGGCAAAAACAGTGCTGCACATGCTTATTCAATTTGCATAAAACAGTCATAAGAATAGACGGTGCTGAAAATAGATAGATGTTAATATTCATAAGATATTCACGATTTTAAAAATGGTTTGTATTGATTATTGATTGAAGGGTATCAAAAGATATCCTTGGTCAAATAATTTTATTGATTATTCGCCAATTGTGGTAATCTTCCATTCATTCAGTTTTTTATCATTTCGATTTCATACTATACATAAAAATAGATTAACAGTGGCCTTCGTTAGAAAAAATGAAAGTATTATTCAGTTATTTTATTGAAAAATAATTCAATAAATATCTATTAGGTATACAAATTTATCCGATGCCTTTAGCGTTATTTAAATTTGAATATTGTTCTCGCGCTTCTGTGTATTTGCAAAGTGACGCGAAAATACAAACAGCAATAAAAATTCTTTCAATAATAATTGAAATTACTATGGCTTTTAAAAAATAAATTTTTAAATGAAAACCCAAAAAGGAAAGTACAAAATTCATTTGTATACCTAATATTTAACATTTTATTTTGTAAGTACCAAAAAAAAATCCAAAAATTTATACGTGACATGGCTAATAGGTGATACATTTATTTTTATAAAAATTTAAAATTTTTAGGCATTTTTTACTCTTTGTTAAAATTGATTGGATTATATCTTCGATTGAACTTTAGACGCTTGTAGTTACGCTTAGTTTCCCATTGCTTGTCAAAATGAATAATTAATACTCTTCCGATAATCTCATCATTCGGTCGTAAAAAGTTTATTGAAAACGAAATGGAACGGGTCAGCATCCCGTTCACAGGAAAAAGCAAGGCGCGTGTTGGTTGCACACGGTCGCGCGCGTGTATGCGCTCGCCCACGCGTAGTCGAGGAACCCACGCAAAACGTGAATACATAACGAGGACGAACGGAAGATAAAGGAGGAAGGAATGCAAGAAGACAATCGTTTATTATCGAAGGATCCGTTCGTTATTGTCACGAGAGAGCCGAGCTTTTCGCACGGATCCTGCATTCACGCGTGCTTAATCACTATTATTACGACTTACGAGCTTTTTCGACTCATTTATTCTCGCCAAATGAACTTGACTTCATGTAAAATATCACATAGCAGAATTTAGTTATCTCTTCTTTTGAATTTGGATGGGATTTACCGATTAATTAAGGAAAGTAGATAAAATTTGGAAATTTATTTCCTAGGAATTATTAAATGAAAAATTTAGATCTTTTCAGAGGATATGGAATTTAATTAACACCTCTTTTTGAAACAATGAAACATATTAATTAATCAAGGAAGGTTTAAATATTCTTAAACTTTGTGAATCAAAAGCAAAAAGTAAGATATAGATACTTAAATAGTTATACAATATTTTTTCAATTTTTTAACATTGTATAAATTATACAACAATTTCCTCCTATAAACTAATATAAAGAAAAAAAATTAATTACCCATATCAGCATGTAAGCCTGTTGCAAAATGATTCAATTACAAGCATTGACCTGACACAGTAAGAAATTGTTTTACAGTGTCACGGGCATCAAATTGCCAAACCGTAAACTAAGAAGACATCGAACACTTATTATTCGCAGAGTGGAATGTAAAAACATGCTGCGTTAGCAATTTAACTTCGAACGATTGTTTATAATTTGTGCATTACGTAAGAGAATGCACATTTTCTGCATTGGCTGTTGGTGAGTTGCGTCAGTGGAGCTGGTGCTGCATTTCGCGACTGTCCAGCTCTTAGTTTGCGAACCATTCGCGATTATAATTCGCATATCGGCAAACAGAGCGTAGCGCGTGATCCATTTTATTTCCCTTTTGCGCGTTTGTTTACTCGCTCAAATGGTCGCCGTTCAAATAGTATTAAAAAATGATTTTTTTTTTCTCTTTTGTTACTTGAAGGGTTAAATTACTTTGACCATAATTCGTAAAGTATCCCATTTTGGGGAATTTATTTCTATTAGATGCCATTTCTTTTTTCTTAATTGAAGATTTATTTTTAAAAAGTCGTAGTAATTCCAGTTATTGAAATAATTGTTATTATAATTCTATTCTCGTGCTATTTTTCAGATACAAGAAACGCGAGAAAATATTAAAATTTAAAATAGTAATTAAGAAAACGTAATACCAAGGGCAATAAATTAATTCGTGTACCTAATAAAAATATTTAGAAATTTTATTTTCAATTTCTTTTCTTTGAAAATAAATGATTTCTGAAGTAAAATATTAAATGAATCTATTGTCTAACACAAGATCTTTAAAATATTTTTCAAATAAAGAACTATTTCTTTGCAAAAAAGAAATTAGTTACATTAGAACTAAAGTGACATTTTTTAAATTGATTAAAGTAGTCTAATTCTTTGAATAATTGATAATGATAGAATCAGCTGTTTTAATTAACAGAGCTGGAATGATACGTGTAACATACTTTCACCTGAACCAGATTTTAATGTTAAGCTGTAGCTAAGGATATGAATGAGGTAGATATAAAAGAGAATATTAATTAGCTGGTTTAGACAAGTTGTAGCAAGTGATCGATAATTAGAATACTCGTTTGATTATCCATTTATTACACTGTTGAATGATAGAACGTATAAATAAATCTTCACATTATATAAATCACAAGGAAATAATCAATAAAAACGAAAAGAAAGATAAAAAGATGTAAAAGTTGAAAATTTAAAAATAATAAGGTTTATGATTTTAAGAAAGTTTCAATTCCAAGGAAAATAGAATTGTTGACTGCTTAAAATATTGTGAATAAAATAGCACTGATTTAAGGATGAGTAAGGTTTGATAATGTGATGCAACAACTGCTTTTAATTGGTCAAGGATTTTAGTATTCCCTTTCAAAAGAGCAGCATTCAATCCCATGCGAACGCAATGCACGCAGCTGGTTAAATTTGCTAAGTTGAACGTTAATTAAACAAACCTGACCGACTTTTCCAAATGATATTTCATATGAAAAAAATGTGTTCAATAATCTTTATACATTTTTAATCTTGTATTTCAATTTAATTAAAAAATGAGTTAATTAAACCAATGTATTATAGTATGCTCTTCACCTACATTGAATTTAAATGCATATTCAGCATTGTAAAAGTTAGAAATTGCAGAGTTTCAAACAGTAATTTAAATTGTTCAATTATATTTATTTGTATTTGGTTGCTCAAAGAAATTAACTTTATTTTGTATTCTGTTACATTTCAGCTAGAATAGATAACAATAGATTTAAAAAATACAAATTTCTTACCACACTTACAATCACACTTCTAATGATTTTTCTAATAATTTTTTTTTTGTAGTAGAACTAACAATTTTGGAAAAAACTTTGCAAAATGGTTTCGGATTTTATTTTCTAATCTAATACAATACAATATCCACACTAAGAAACTAATTAAAAATACAAAAATCAGTGGATCCAGTCTATGGAGTTTTGCGTGTCATTGTTTTCAACGAACAGGCAAAAATTTCGTGTCCGAACAATGTAGCGCCGCTAACGAAAGGTGTTTCGCTAATTTCCGGCGTGTCGGGCACAATATTTTTCGCGACATGCGCCGCGTTTCGCATCGGTTGTCCCGAATCGAATCAGCGTATCATCGACCGATGGAAATTCAGCTTTCGTCACGAAAATTGGCTAAATACTCGTTCTCTGACAATCGAGTCGCGAGGGAGCGGTTCTGTGAATGGCGAGTATAATCGGTGTATCTACCGGAAGTCCGGCCTACGGGTTCCGGCCCGAGGCGAGCACGCTCATCTCGTTGTCTCTTACGCGTTTTTTTTTCCTTTTATTTTTTTGTTTTTTTTTTCGTCCACATTGTCCCGACAACGAGCTCCATTGCCTGTTGACCGAAAAAAGAACAGGCAACCAGGAGTTGACGCAGCTGCGGAATGTCGAGCGCATCTGCAGGTGCAAGCGGATTAGATTATCAACACGATGTGCTTCCTTGTTGAAACACACCGTTGCATGGTTGTTTGTGGAGGTGGTGTGTATTAGTAAAGAAATTCGTGGCATGTTTCTTTGTTGAGGCTCGTCTTAAATTCACCTCCTCCTTTGTTTAATGTTAGACAGTAGCGCAACCATGAGATCAGAAGGACCAGTTAACCCTTTTATTCAGATATCAAAAATTCTCTTTTTTTAAATAAATATCTGCCTGAACATTTTCGAAAATTTCAAAGAATATTGTCGAGAATCAGAACCGGATTAGGATTTCTGAGACTCGGGGCTATTACACCTTCGAAGCCCCTCGTGGTCAATAAGGTTTAGTCGTTAGAATTGAAAGGGTTAAAAAGGGGAAAAGTAAGACCGAGGTGTTAGAACTCCTTCGATCCGGTGCTGTTGGGAATAAATAGAAATGGAAAAAAATTAGACGTATATTATTAACATACTAATAGAGTATGAAAAAAATCTTGTTGATCCCCCATGGCACAATTATGATCAGGTCATTTAATTTTTTAAAATACTCTATATACATTTTATTTAGAATTGCTTGAAAGGAATTAAAAGTAATACCATCACCATTCAGGTCACCGATACCGATTCTTCGACCGGTTTGAAATAACCTAATTAAACTAATCATCTTCGATCACCGTGGGAATCAGCACCTTTCTACTCAAAGTCGAAGAAAGTTTTCTGAATAAATTCCTGAAAGTTTTATTCGAGTATCTTAATCGAGCCAATGCATATTAAACAATTCCTATATTTTTAAGCTTCCAGTCGACTGCAGTGTTCCGCGTGTCAGGAAAGGTGAAAGGTTAATACAGAACCGGAACACCTGGGGCGTATATTGCACGAATCAGATTATCAATAAAATACGATTTACGCGTGCGAGCGCCGTTGTCATAAAATAGTTAGTCGGTGTAATTAAATTTTATTTTCATTCTTTTTGCAGATCGACTATCCGGAAGTGCATGGAGGAAGGATGCATCGACCACCGCACCCCCATCCCATAACCGACCATCGACAGGTCAACCTGGTCTTCGATGATACGGTAAATGTTTATTTTCAAACTATTCTCTTTTCTACAAATAGAAACGAAGGTATATTTTCAATGCTTAGTTGACCTCTCGACCTGAAATCGCAAACAGTATTGCAAATATATTCAATTTAAATATTTAAAAATTCATATAGAAATTTATTGATTTCGGTCCTGATTCAGGCAATTATCAATTTATTACTGGTGGTTTTTAGAGGTGTACGAGTACCCGAAAATATCGATTCCGGTCAGCTCGGGTCGGATACTCAAAAATATAAATGTGCGAGAACTCGAAAATTTCGGGTACTCGAATCAATCGAAATAATTTTCGACCCGACTCGAGTATCGCGTACCCGAAATTTTCGGGTCCTTGCATATCTATATTATCGCAAACCCGATCCGAGTATCGAGTACCCGAGCGCTCGATAAATCCCTGAATTTGAGAAAAATATCCATATAAAAAACTCAAACACCATAAATAATATTTTTTTTTCCATAAAATTATCTCCACGTTGAAATTACTTGTTCAATTGCAAGGTAACATGCTCGTACGTTTTGTTTCTATCGATCAGAATCAATAGCTGGTAGTGTATACATCAGCGGTAATATGACAGAGATTTATAGCCGTTATCTATCGCTAGATCGAAGCATATGCACTTTTGCTTATCATCTTGTTCGTTACGGTTCACGATCATTCATCTTGCGTCATCGTGCGCGTCATTGATAGAAAGTTTCGTAGCCATCGATTCGCTAGGTGTGGACGGGATATCCACGTGTTTCCGTTGATCAGAAAGGACGTCAAAAGAGTAGGGAGAAAAAAAAAAGAGAGATAGAGAACCGCGTTGAATGCAACGAGTGGCAAAGTTTTGAGGCAGCTTTTTCTCTCGCTGCACGCTTTCTCATGCATTTCAAATGCACACCCGTCCCCCGTGAAGCGAAGTTTTATCAGTCCGTGAATATTCTTATTTGCCTCGACGCGTACAGACGGAGAATTTCCTGGCTGGAAGAGTAAATAGCGATCGTCGTAAAGCGAGAAAAAGCTTTTCCTACCGGAGAAAATGGAACATAATACGAGATACGATTTACTTGGGTGTTATAGTCGAAGTAGATCATTTTTTCTTCTGTTACGAACATTCTTTTTCTTATTTTATAATCTTTCGAACACAGCTGAAAAAATAATGACTATTTTATATTTGAATAATTTCCCGCGTTTCTGTATATTTGAAAAGTGGCGCGAAAATATAGCAATAATAATAATATTTGAAATTTTGGGTTAATTTTTGAATTGTAAAATTAAATTTCACGTGTTAAAAGTCTTTTTATGTTAATTACTTAATAATATTAGTTTTTAAACGCCTGTCATTAATGACCCACTATAACACTCAACTTACTGTATTATCAAGCAACAGTTATCAGCATGATTAAAGAAGTACAATGTTAAGATTTAGATCTTAAATACAACTTCTCTTCCATTTTCCCGGTTGGAAAAAGTTTTAAAACGCCTTTCTCCGGATCGAAAGTTCGTTAAGGCGCAGCCAGCGCGCCAGTAAGATGATCTACATTAGAGTGTCTCTCCCCAAAGAGTCTCCGGAATGCACATTGGCGGTATGCACTGGTATGCCAGTGTCTTTCCCGCTCGAGTAGGAAGAAACTGAATGGGAGAAGCAATTTGGAAAGTCTGTGGACGCAGGGACAAAAGGAAAAGTGAGACATGAGCACGACATAACGGGTCGTATAAATCATCCGTCGGGTCGGCCAGTGGCCTTTGAGCAGTTACTATCCGCTGCTTTGGATGCTTTGAGCAGACCGGTACTCTTTTCTCTCGTGTATCCTCCGTCTCTCTCGATCGTTTACCGACTGACGATTGACCGACCGTCGACTCCTTAAGCTCGTTTCACAAGATCGTCCTTTAAGCCCCATCGCTTCGGCACCGCTAACAGTATATCGTCTCCAATACACTCGAAGAATTTTTATATAACAGATCTTCGCAATTGTAACTGATGAATTGCTACTCGATGCAATCAACTGGTTGTCCTTGTCGATACGCGATTAATATTCATGGAAAATTGTTTTATCTACGAAGTTTCATCGAACTACGACGTTTCCTTTCGATAATTCTCATTCCATTTCCTTTTTTTCTTAATGAGAGGATGGGTTGATAATTCAGTAAAGGTACGAATTCATTTGACATTTAAAAGGGTGTCAGAAATAGCTCCGTAAACGTGCTCGATATTTAAAGGCGTACATAGTGAAATACATAAGGGCATTATAGAAAATTAGATCCAGAAGCAGTATGTGGTCGATAATTGACTATTAACGAGCTGGAAGCTGGGTGAAGCGAAAAATTTCGACAGACATTTTCGTCGCGTCATCGAGAGAAGTGTTTTGTTAGTAGCACGGTCAGAAGCTACAGGTGGGCCCCCCAACGTGCGCCCCCCTGTTGCGACGGACCTGAAGCTTGCCTCTCGGTTCGGTCACGTGACCCTATGCTTTCGAAGGGAATGCCGGTGGCTGGACGAAGGGTGGGGGAGGGACAAGAGGCAGTCCCATGTCCGCTACTCCGCTAAGCTGACGGCCCACGGCACGGGGGCACACCAGACGCGCCACGAGCTTCGTAAACGCACACAAAGAAGATCACGTCTCGCGTTCCGTGTATTATATACGCTCGCATATGCACTCGCGAACGGGTGCTACGAGTTGGCCGAGTTCGATCGAAATTCCTCGGGGAGACAACGAGAAGAAAATGTGGTCGGACGGTGTTTCTTTCTCACATTTAGTCTCATGATCGAACGCGGAAGAGGAGAGAGCGTACCGAGCAAGTGCCATTAGTAAGGATAGGATGGACGCCTTCGGCATATACCAAGTGAGTCTGACGATCTCCCGCGGTCTCAAAATGGCCTTGGTTTACCGTCATACTTTTCACGTTCCCGTGATTTTCTACAAACGTTTCGTTACCATGAACGATCGCCTCTTATTATCGTCGGATGACAGATGTCACGATGTTTTTGTTTAGACAATACATGATACATATTTCTGTCTCTTTCCCTCCGTGCGTGTTTTCTGGTCGCTCAATGTTGCGTGCGTGATGTCATGTCTGGCAACCTAACCTAACTTACGAGTAGAGCTGTCTCCATCACGCCCATTCCTGGTACTATTCCGTAAACGAGCACCGCTCGTAGAACCCATGTTTTTGTCCTACATGTTTCTTGATCCCGTTCCTTGCAGCTTCCTCTTCACGATTGACAGATCGATGTCGATCCATGGATGATAGATCGTTCCGCGTTGTTGTAGGATTTAAAGAAAAAATCTTTGATCGAAGGGTGCATTAATATTTTCTCTTGGCATTGCACCGTGTTTTTGTTTATATTCCCTATTACATCGATATATCGCGGCAAAAAATGAATTGCTTTGTATTAAAATCATTTGAGATAAACATTAATGTAAACACATTGTAATTTACATACTGAAGTAATAAAACGAATGTTGATCATCTTTAATTAATGCAGAAGTATTACAGTGTATGTTACATTCAATATTAAGCTATTTGAGTACAATTTACAAACAATATATACAGTAAAATATATTTATTATAATGTATATAACTAACTGAAATATTTATTTTCTTTACAGTTTTCTCAAGGCCTGACAGGCAGGCCAGAGCTGTACCAAAAATCCAACAGAAGCAGCCATTCGAGTGACACAAGTTCAGCGTACAGTGGATCAGACACAATGACATCTGTACAAAGTTCATTAGATGCTGATGCAGATGATGTTGATCTGTCAGGGCTTGTTGAATCCATAGTGGACAGTGATGAGGAAGAAGATCTTGCAGAGAGTATGGATGTAAGCGGATATTTAAATTCCATAGAAATCTAAACTGCATAATTTAAGAGGGTAGAATTAACAGTCATTATCATTATTGTTTCAGAGTTTGACTGTCCGTGATCCAGTCAGAGAATGTTTAGAGAAAGATCCCATGGAAAGAACTGAGGATGATATAGAGACACTGTTAGAATTCACGCAACAATTGAAGGCCTTTACAAATATGACTTTGGCAGTGAGAAGAGCGCTGTGCGCTGTGATGGTGTTTGCTGTGGTGGAACGTGCTGGTATGATAGTTTTAAATGATGGAGAAGAACTGGATAGTTGGAGTGTGCTCATTAATGGTGCAGTGGAAATTGAGCATAGTAATGGAGAAATTGAACAGTTACACCTTGGTGACAGTTTTGGAATCTTGCCCACTATGGAAAGGCTTTTGCATAGAGGTGTCATGAGAACAAAGTAAGCATTGCACAAAGGAGGTTCCTCATTTTATTAGAACTCTTGTTATTAAATAAACAATTTCTCTTTCACAGATGCGACGACTGCCAATTTGTATGTGTCACACAAGCGGATTACTTTAGAATTCAGCATCAAGGAGAAGAGAATACGAGGAGGCACGAAGAAAACGGAAGGGTGATTTTAGTCACTGAATTGAGGGGTGCTTTAGATGGTGGAGCACGAAGAGGTCATGTAGTGATTCGTGGAACTCCCGAACGTTTAATGTTACAACTTATCGAAGAAAACAGTATTACCGACCCAACTTATATAGAAGATTTCTTATTAACTCATCGAACATTTATTGATAGTCCTTTATTAGTTGCAAGTCAATTGTTAGAGTGGTTTGATCAATCACAAGTCAGGGACAGAGTTGCTCGCGTAGTACTTCTTTGGGTAAATAATCATTTCACGGATTTTGAAACTGATCCATCGATGATGGAGTTTTTAGAAGCGTTTGAAACTGGATTGGAAAGAGAAAAGATGCAAGGTCAACAAAGGTATGTTTTATTTTCAGTTGATATTATACGAATGTTGTAACTACTACAGAGTACTGTAATTTAAATATCATTTAAAATTACAGATTATTAAATATCGCGTGCGCGGCAAAAGCAAGAACGCGAAACGTAACGTTAGCAAGGCCTTCCAGGGATGAGATCCTGCATTTTAGTATTTTAGGGGGATACGAAAGGGGTTTTGGTATTTTTATTTCAAAAGTCGATAAGAAATCGAAGGCCGAGGACGTTGGTTTGAAACGAGGCGATCAGATTTTAGAAGTGAACGGACAGAGCTTTGAGCACGTGAGTCACGCCAGGGCTCTTGAAATTTTAAGAGGATCCACTCATCTCAGTATAACTGTTAAATCCAATTTACTTGGTATGTGCAGCCTTTTGAAACTAACAATCCTGTATAATACTATTTCTATACGAGCAATATAAATTATTGTTGTAGCGTTTAAAGAAATGCTTCAGATGCCAGACGATTCGCCGAGGCCGCGGGGAAGAGCGAATAAGCCTGAGATTTCAAGACTACAAACCGATCCGCGCGCAAGGTTGTCCACCCATGTGGATCCGATAACTCCAGTTAATCCTCTGGTGGGCGGTGTTCCATTATTAATTCCCGATTCGAATGTTTCTCCGTGTAAAGATGCTAAAAAGGAGCATAAAGGATTCATGACACTTGGACCGAAAAGGAGATTACAGAAAGCTCTAATGAAAATGAATATACTGCCAAAGAATACTATTAAGTGAGTTCCACAAATACATTTCTATTATCGAGTCTTCATATAAATGAATACTGTACATTAAACATCGTAATTCTTTTTTACAGCGATGGTGTACATGTAGATGATCCCCTCGCACCTCCTCACACACCACCGGGAACAACAGGACTCGCACAGACTACTAATCTTTATCACTCCAAAAGTAATCCCGATCTTACGTCGTTGTATTGCTACGACGACTTAAGGGCGCCCGATTATCCTGAACACGTTTTGAAAGTTTATAAAGCCGATCAAACTTGTAAATATCTTCTTATTCACAAAGAAACAACAGCGCACGAGGTGAATATATATTTAATATGAAAAAATATGTATAGGACTAAAGAATCTTATTTATATGCTAATGCATCACTTCCAGGTGGTAATGCTTGCTCTGCAAGAATTTGGTATAACCGAGAGCAGTTCGAATTTTTCTTTAGCCGAAGTCAGCGTCGGAGAAGGGGGTATGATCAAACAGCGCAGGTTACCCGATCAATTACAAAATCTCGCAGAACGAATCGGCCTGAGTTCTCGGTATTATTTAAAGACCAATGGTATTTCGGAGACATTGGTAGCTGACGAACAGGCACCTGAATTGATTCGCGAATCTCAGGTTCATTTCTTGCAATTAAATGCCGTTGAAGTTGCCATTCAGTTAACTTTGCAAGATTTTAGTATATTCAGGTAAATGGAATAACTTTCACACTCCATTGTTCATACTGTTATTTTTATATATATATATTTATTTAAATATTATTATTAGACAAATTGAATCTACGGAATACGTGGATGATTTGTTCGAGCTGAAAAGCAGATACGGAGTACCTATGCTTAGGCAGTTTGCGGAACTAGTCAACAGAGAAATGTTTTGGGTTGTGACGGAAGTTTGTTCCGAGCACAATCTCGTTCGACGTAGTAAAATAATAAAACAATTCATAAAAATAGCACGTGAGTTCCCTTATTCGTCAACCATTAAAACGTGCACGGTTTACGATACGCGGTTTCTCATGTCCCTTTTAATCAACAGGACAATGTAAGGAGTGTAAAAATTTCAATTCCATGTTTGCGATCGTGTCCGGTCTGGGTCATGGGGCTGTCTCAAGACTACGAGCTTCTTGGGAAAAACTGCCAAGTAAATATCAGAGGCTCTTTAGCGACTTGCAAGAATTAATGGACCCCAGTCGCAATATGAGTAAATACCGGCAATTGGTGGCATCCGAGCAAACACAACCTCCTATAGTAAGTTACATCTCTTTCATAAAAATTCTCCCATCATTAAATAATATGATAATAACATTGCGTTTCATTTTTTGTTTAGATTCCGTTTTATCCAGTGGTGAAGAAAGACCTGACGTTCATACATCTGGGTAACGACTCGAGGGTGGAGGGTTTGGTGAACTTTGAAAAATTGCGAATGATCGCGAAGGAAGTGAGAACGTTAACAAACATGTGCTCTTCGCCTTACGACTTATCAATAATGTTAGAAAGAGGCGGCCAACCACCCAGTTCAGCAATGGTCGCGTTAAATCAAATGACGACAGGGAATCAAGGTAATGCAATTGAAGTTTGTAGAAACAGGGCAAAAATTGTGACGTTTCGTTTTTACTAAACAGTGTTACAATGTCCAGGAGGACAGACGGCGACGGTGAAAAGGCGGAAAAAGTCGACAGCCGCGCCAAACCCGAAGAAAATGTTCGAGGAGGCGCAGATGGTTCGACGAGTGAAAGCGTATCTCGCCAATATGAAAGTCATCACGGACGAGGAGCGGTTACACTCTCTTTCCGTCGAGTGCGAACCTCATGCAGGAGCTGTTGCAGTGGCTGCTGCGGTACCCCTTAGTACAAGCAGAGGAAGAAGGCATCCTTCTCCTACTTTATCAACCACGAGTAGTGCCAGTAGCACCAGCGAAGGTAGAAAGAGTATACAAGGTAAATTTATTTCATTTTAATTCGAACATTATTTCCATAAGATTTTCTTTGAAACTAATTGTTATGTAATACGTTCAGGTACAAAGTTCGGAGCAGCATCGCCACAGGCTGTACGAAAAATGTTGGCTCTCTCCGACCCTCACAAAACTCGTCCATACCAACCTAAACATTGTCCACCACCGCTTCCAGTACCAGGATTAGCCCTGCATTCCAGCGGACTGGAGCCTAGTCCTGGTGCACCTAGGAGAGTAGGATCTGGTAGCCGAGTTCCTATGCATGAGCGATCCCATAGCGATACTCCTTCCAGTTTACCACCGCCTGTTGATCTAAGTGCCGAAAGTAGTAGCGTAACCAGCCTGAGCAATCTTCAGCCGTTAAGAAAAACGTTGACCAGCGGTAAGTTGATCAATTTCGACACTTAAAATGGTTCGAAACGAGATGCTGTCAATCGAAGCGACCGTGTTATTCTTTAAAGCATTCGACCACAACGGTGCTTCTTTTCTGATTGTTGATTTTTAAATATTCTTTGACGGTGATAGATTATAATGGACAGATCTCGTGAAGTACCATCGAGTGCACCCTTCATTGCTCGTGACCATACACACTGGTCAGGTTTCGCAAATCTAAGAAACTTTCATTTTATATGCACGCTGCACAGCCGTTTACGCAATTCATAAATGTTCCATGTTTATATTTAGCTTCTATCCATTTTACACGCATCTTGTACGCCGATTATCGTAGCTCGCGCTTCTTTTCGATCAATATTATCGTTCCGTGTTTTTTTATACATGCCATGGTACTGAATTACCCAGGGCGAAGAGCGTCTATCTTAGATCACTCACCATGGGACATACGGATGCGTGAATCACATCCTCGTACGATTCCACTTTCAGAGAGCATTACAGATTCTAGCCTCGTCGAATTAACTTAATCTCAAAATTTTTTTTCTAAGCTATCAAATCTTCGGATCGATGACTATAAGATTGAACAAAAGTTTACTTTTTTCAGGAAACGGTACTTTTTTTAAAATACAATTTTAAACGCTTCTTTGCTCGAAGTAGCTGTTATAGTCGCTTACAGAAGAATGATCCTTAGTAGGCGTGCATCGAAAAACAAACGCTGTGCGAGCGAGATTGTTAATCTTGATCAAATCAACAATCGACGTTCTTAAGCATGAGAGAGAGAGAGAGAAAGAGTGAGAAATTGTGAAAGTGAGTTACAGATGTCACGTGTCCAATGAATACGACTAACATTTGTTAGATGATTAGCAGTTAGCGGGAGAGAGCAGCAGGGCGAGAACTCGGCTAGAATGTGTAGTGATAGAAGTGTCTTGGGGACGTGTGCGTAGGTTCGGTGACGAGCAGTGACAGTGGTCACAGTACACAGCTGGACAGCCACAGTGGAAGCAGCGTGGAAGCTGGTGGTAGTCCACCTCCACCTCAAAGACGTCATTCCGCCATGCAAGGTACGTAAAACGAGAACCAGAGCAAAACATCAGCAAAAGATATGAAAAAAAAAAAAAGAAAAAAAAAAAAAGAAACATTCACAAGCTCGTGCTCATAACCTTGTCTTCTTTCCCATTTACCCGTAAAACCGTAGACTAGAAGGTAGAAGCAAAGAATAAGAATCTGGAGTGGTCCGATTCATAAAGTTTGCTTTTGATTTATCCTTTTGAAGACCACGTGACCACGTGACATTTCCCGTGAATACGATTGGGTGTTACAGATTGAGTCTCTGTTTTTAGTCATTTATTTATTTATTTTAAAAAGAAAGAGTACCCAAGTAGTGTGTGATATTATTTATTAGTAGTTAGTAAATGAGAATGGAACGGTGTGACATTATTTGTTGTACGTATATACACACATGATTAATCCTTGATTAAATTTTTTTTTTTTTTTATTCCTATTGTTTTTAATGTCTGTTCACACTACCGGTCGTTCCTCTAGAATCGAGTGTGAAGATAAAAACACGTATGTCCCATGGCCACTCATCTTCATTCTCTCTTGTCTATGGTTAGCCGAGAAAACTCCGATGGAACTTGAGCCGTTATACATATCGTCCTCTGTTCTTTTTTATCATCCTCCCCGGTTACTTTATTTATTTAATCGTTTAGCCGAGCGTTGCGCCCGATAACGTAGGTAAACGTGCTTTATAGCCGCTTTTATCTCGGACTTCCGATTGCTTTTCAGTACATTTATCGCTTGAAGCTTTTCACAGAGACTCGCTTCTTTACGCAGCAAGGGGCATTTCATGCATATTATACGCATAACCCGGGGATATATTTATACAGACACTTCGACCCAATTATCGCGATCTTTGCACTCGCGGTACTCACTGTAAGACATTTATTCCTTCGCGTTCAGGAATTCTAGATTTTTTATTATTATTCATTTACAAAAAAAAAAAGAAGAAAAAATAATGAAACGGTGCGAAATTGTACATTTTGTAAAGAAACATATCGTATGTGGCCTGTGTGTGGTGCAGGGTCTGTTATGAGAGGTGGTGCACCTCCGTTCCCTCACGCGGTAGCAGTGTTACCTCCGCTTCCTGCCAACCACAACCAGAATCAAAACCACAATCATCATCACCACCACCACCATCACCACCAACATTATTACGATCATCACCATCACCAACCCCAAAATCCTCAAGGTGAGTCCGCGATTGTCTTGCCTGTCTTGAGTTTCTCACCTGCAATTCGCCTGTGTGATCTATATTTTCGTAGAACTACTTTTACGTTGTTTCTGGTAAAAATAGAAATTTTTTTATTTTTGCATGATATATAAAAAGGAGTATCTTTGGTAATGGAACGTAAGAGATGTAAAATTGTGTATAGATGTAATCTTAACTAATTTTGGGTATTTGCATACGGTGTTCTTTTTTTACTGGAAACAACGTGTCAGGTTTGAGGTGTATTCGTTCATGTGTACAGCGATGCGTTAGCTTTAATCTGTATTAATCGCTTGCTCGAAGAGTTGACGTGTGCACGCTAATAACCACGTGAGTATTGGTATCTCCTTGCTTGCTACGTATGTCGTGTGTGTGTTAGGAAGTGTGTTGCATCGATCTTGTTCACCGTGTATCGCGTTTTCTTAGGATTAACGGAAAAACGAAGGCTTCTTTTCAGGGTTTATTAACTGGTTCTCTGTGCTTTCCTTTTTTCTTGGGCTGGACTATGCCGGTGTATAGAGTTCTCTATTTAAACCCGTTCGTCTCTCGAACGGGCCTTCTGAACGAGTACAACGAGTCCTATTATTTTTTATATTTATGTTAATAGTGTGATAACGACAGCACTATTGAAAGGGTTAAGTGGATGGAAGAAAATTGAAAATTCAATAAAATTCAAAGCATTTATTTTCTTAGAATCAGATACAATTCTATTTTTTAATTTAAGCTTATTACTAAAATTTTGTACACTTATACAGTACTGAGCATAGTAGGTTTCTCTAGGGAAGATCGCGATGCCCCCTCCCATCGCTTGGCTCCTCCTCCGGTAGGCGATGGAGGGGGAAGACTCCATATATATACCGCAGTTCACCAGAGTCCATAACTGCGAAAAGACCAATTTTCGTTCTTCGCGCTTTTCCAGTGCGCATCTTCGCCCTGATTGGCGATACTCCCAAACGAAGTGGAAAGCGATTAGCAGAGAGCTCGCTGCGTTGCCCCACCATCTTCCAACCTGCGCGTCGCAGTTATGGACTCTGGTGAACTGCGGTATACATATTAGTAAAAATTATATTACTTTTTTACAAATTACTTTTAATATTAACATTAGAGCTCCTGACGTTCGATGCAAACTTATTTTTATGTTGAAAATAATGTAGATGTCGCCATTAAAGTAATACTTTGCCCAGTATTGTACTATTAATAACCAAACTCTATACCAAAAATATCTTAAAATTAATTTCAAATAAAATTTTACCTAATTTCGAAAACATTGGAAATGAAAAAATTGTTGAAGTGTCTAATGAACATTTTATCTTTGCGAAAATCGTGATACTCGTTTGGAATGGCCCCAGCTGGTGAATGACTTGACGGAAGATAAGGGTGAGAGTAGTTGTCGAGGAGGAGGAGAAAAATAGTAGGGTGTGAGAGAATCGAGAGAAAGAGAGTCGAGGGTTTTCAGGTACTACGGGATTAGGAGTAGGCGTGGGTCTTGGAGTACAGACGGCGCATCCTCCTCCAGGAGCTGGCACGACGATTATGACCACGATGTCGACATCGATGACAACGATGCGTCCAGGAGTGGGTAGTACACAGTGTCGTCAACCACCTGCATACAAAGTTGCGGCACAGATGGCAAGGTTGCACAGGCTTGGCCGTGCTCACAGCCACGAGGGTGTTACCTACAGGACCGACCATGAAGATGGTACAAAGAAAACAAACTCGCTACGTACAATACAATCTACTCTACCTCACGTTTATACATAGACGTATATACATTTATTCTTATATTTTTTCGACAATTTTATGATACTCGAAGCTTGCGCTCCTTAACACTGTCGATCGTGATGGGAGTGATTATTGAAGAAAAATTAGTTCAATCAATTTTGACTTTCTTTCTTTAGGGTATAATATCGATGCTATTGTAGAATTAATATTCTTTTATTACTGAGAAAATAGAGGTAGGATGTAATTTATTTAAGACAGGTTGAAGCTTGTATATAATTTAGAAGAATGTTAGTTTGATTAATTTTATTGAAATTTTAGAAATTTGAAGTGGATGTACATTTCTGATCAAATCAGGTTTCCCCAGGAAAAATACTACATTTTATAATATTTAATAACTAATAGTTATACTATCTTTTTTTAAATTACTTTTAATATTAATATCGTATTTTGAAAATTCCTATCTCCCCTATTTATATCGCTATTTTACCTAGGGAAGCCTGATTCGATTGCGAGCGTACCTTGCTATTAATAAATAGTTTTTCAGCTGTATAAAATATTTTAAATATTGTTAATAGTATCGATACTGACTTTTTTTATTATTAATCTTTGATATTAATATGAAACATCGATATCAGCTATTTAAATTTTATAATTCTATTCTATCAATCCCATCACTAATTATCGATACTGCACGGAGAAAAATGTTAAGTACAATTTGTTTATTTTTCCAACATTTCGCTTCTCCGCCGCGCAATATCAATGGATTTTTCTTGGTGTTTTTTCGCTTTACCCTTTCAGGCATGTACCTGATCGCAAATTTTAATTAAATATTAAATAACTGCAAAACCATTCGAATTACAAATTGATATCATAATTTCATTCCAAATCGTACTACGTCTGGAAAGGTATAAATGTATTCCAATTTTAATTTCTTTTCGTTCCAAGCGTAGCGCAAGTTTCCAAAAATTCTTCAAACTCTCACACTTTTTTCGATAACATTTTTCACCGTGACGAATGTCGCGATGCTCGATTTGTTTTTTTTTTACCTTTCTGCGATCGAATATTCGAAACTACGTAGAACAGGATTTTAGTTCCTCCAAACGAAACATTTCAAACGTCACCGTGGAATCTTTCCTACGATGGATGAGTTATGCAAATGACACTATATATATTTCTAGCTACAATGTATGTATGGACACACACACACACACACGTACCATTTAATAAACGATTCCTGCGGGTGGGATCGTTGTTTGTTATTCGATGTACATGTTTCCCGAATAATCTCGCAGCAAACTGTAAATAACGACACACGTTCACGCATTTTTTTTTTTTCACTTGTACATTTTGCCTGTATAACACGCGTGTTCTGTGTGCATCATCGTTAACTTCGTGTTTTGTATCATTTCATTTATTTTAATTTTCGTACCGTCAATGCACTCGTTTTTTACGCATCTTGAATAGCAATTAAATTTTCTTTTGCATCTTAAGTGAGCTACGATTATGTATTCATGTTTCGTGCACTCGCTGCAGGCTTGTTTTGCAATTGGATAGTGCGATTTTTTGAGATTGCAGTGGCGATATTACACGTTCCAATTACCCCCGCATATATTCGTTGTTCGTAGCCTCGTGTCAGGCATGTCGAGCTTGCTTACTATTTTTTTTTTTTTAATTGCACGTCACGCTCCATGATCCTTTATCCGTTTGGATCGTTTTGATTTCTGTGAATGGAGTTCGTCATCTTTTGCAGCTAGTTTCTTTCAGGAACTTAATGATAATTGAATAGTAGCCTGTTTCCTTTTTATTGAATAGATTGGAATCTACTTTGGCGAATACCTCTGTGTGTTTGGTTCATTTAAAGGATTACATATTCATTCTTTGGTTTGTATTCGGTGTACATTCGCGATCAAAGCGCGGTTCCCGCCTTTCCCCATAAGCATCCCCCCTCCCGTGGCATTGTAGCGACGGAGGTCCCCCACCACTTGCGTATAAACGCTTACGTGGGAAAATTTGAATTAATATTTGCTTTGTTATTCGTACGTTTCAATTTTATACTAAATTTTATAATATTCAATAATTAAAAATTAGATCATTTCTGATATCCTCAGAGTTAAGATTTTGAGAAGTCCTGTATAATTATAATCATAACTATGGTAAATAATTTAAATAGTTTTGTTTAAACTCAGAAGTAACAATTTTAGATTAATCGAGATCATAAAAAATGTTCCTTATTAAAAGACCCAAGTGCATAGGCATGAGTTAAGATTCTGCCAAAGTAGATACCAGTCATCAAGACAAGCTACACTCCAAATAACCACTTTACAAATCGTCATTAAACGAAACATTGTACCTATTTTCAGACGACGAGGACGCCCAGGTATCAGCGGTTTAAAACGGTCCACGTCTCCAAGGGGTTTCCGGTCATCCTTTTGTTTCACCTGCTCATCGCACTGTTTCTTCACGCGACCAAGAGGAACACAAACTTTCGTTATCATGTGCCACGTGAAAACAGGAACGTTACTGAAGTAACGAACAAAGCTCGTGTGTACCGTATCTCCAATAAAGAAACCCAATAGGGGAAAAGTATACAGAAGGGTACACGAAGGAATGCGAGAAAACAAATCGTCAAACGCACAGTTTCTTTCGATGTTCGCCGCATCGGAAGTCGAAACAATAATACCTGTTCCAAGGAGGATCCTTGGATAAGCGAACGAAGCGCTCGTCTTCCAGGATTGCACGCGAAAGTAGCAGAGGATAGCCACTGAAGATACATAAAAGAGAAAGAAGAAAAAACGAACGTCGATACGATTCGGGAAGCGCAGAAAAGACAAAAGGAAGAAGATAGACTGAGAAAAATATGTAAAAGAATTTCTCTTTAGAAAGAGGTGCCACGAGTTTCACACGTAGCGGCTACTCCAGAGAGAGAAAGAGAGACTAGGCGCGTGAATTTACGGTCATAAGTAATATTCTCTATAAATGTGTAATAAAAAAAAAAAATCGAGTCCAAAGATGTTATATATACCGCGTAATCGTCGCAGGGAGTACGAACGAAGGCGTGTCTTGTATTATAATTACTTTTTAGGCTAACCCCCGAACGCCCAGAGTAGTTTAAGTATACGTTTCTTTTTTTTTTTGGTGTACATAGCGTGTAGCGTTTAATGTAGCCTGTAATGAGAGAGAGAGAGAGAAAGAGAGAGTGCATCGTGCGTGTATGTAAGAGAGAATGAGAGAGAGGGAATTTAGTGCAAAACGAACACGGATCGTGTTGTCCATCATCATTGAGCGACGTTTCTTTTCTTCGTTCTTTTTCTTCTGTACACGCGGCGAGATTTTTTAATTATGTTATCGACAGGCTTTGAGATGAATTTTACTTCTCGCTAATTATGTCTTTGACGCGCGTGTACACTCGCGGTCAGATCAGGCTTCCCCAGGAGAAATGATAAATTTGCTGAATTTAAATGCTAAATTTTATTATATTTAATAACTAAAAGTTATATTTTCTTCTCGAAATCACTTTTAATATTAATATCGTATTTTAAAAATTCATATTTTCTCTACATCGTTATTTTCTTTAGGAAATCCTGATTTGATCGCGGGTGTACTATTATTTTATCATTGACGCGATCACAAGTACAAAGTATTTTTGCAGAAATCGCGTAGAAAAGTATACGCTGGGCTTTTGAAATTCTTTTTTTTTTATTGCTTTTTGCGTGCGCGGAAATGAAAATAATTAATAGCGCGCGATCGTTCCAAGAGCGACAGAAGAGAAACGAAGGATGCAACAAGGTATTAAACTCGGATATAATATTAGTGATTCGATTCGCATCGCGTATGCTCAACTTATTTTTACCGAGTAATTATTAATCGAAACGAATTTTTAGATCTGCTGTAACTTATTAGAGAATGTCGTCTCGAATTCGATCTGTCGTTGTCGAAGGTGATGGATCATCGGTAACTAATATTTTCCGAAATTTTATCAGTATCACGGTACTCTTAATTTTATATACAAAGAAACAAAATATATATATATATATATATAGAAATATATATCTGTATGTATAATCCGCGCCGTGCGAGAAGAGCGTATTAAACAAGAGAACGAGAATCTTTCTTCGAGCCTTCTATCAAGGAGAGACGAAATTGATTCTTAAAGGCGAGATGATCGCGAGTCATCGCGAGACCGGACGACAAGAATCAACCCGGTTTCGCTATTTATAATTATCGATACCGAATAAAACGTATGGTTTTTCCCGCGTTCACGGCTAGGATCGTCGTCGTTCGATCACGACGGTGGGGTCAGAGGGGGCCTAACTTCCGAGGCTATCTCCAATTCGCGATGAACGATCTGGCGGGAAACGCGCGCGGAAAGCGAGCTAAAAGTCTCGAGGATTAACACGGTGCTTCCTATTCTCCTCTCTCCGTCGCCTACACGCTCGATAATCGAGCGCACTCTCGACATTCCACGTGGTTGCGTCCAGTCGTGAATCGTCGCCAAAATGCTTCCACTCGGCCGACTGATTACCGTCTCGAGCGCGAACGACTGCTTTTCAATTCTTACTCGCATATACATTCGGATGTAATATAGATATTCTTTAATTAACAATTAAGCTAAAATCATATAAGCGTTTAAAATGACGCTTATCGAAATGGAAACTGATGTATAGTCACCTAGGCTCTTCTTAAATAATGAAAAATATAAAGGAAGTATGTAACCAGTTCCTTTATTCTACTCTGGGTTCTTCCTTGATTTTCCCAAAATTAAAAGCAAGTGGTGTGAAGGCATCACTGGGTTTCAATTTTGGGAGAATCTAGGGGGAACCTGTGGAGGACACATGAGTGTTATTTAACTCCTGTAGAAAGATTTTGATCAATAGCTGTTGTTTTAAATGCTTGTGTGATCCCAGTGTATGTATAGGAGGAGGAATCTTCCATTTCTTGCTTTTGGTTTCGGAGAAATTCAAATAGAGCCTAGGGCTGTTTAAGAGAGCCTAGGAAGAGCCTCCTTCACTTCCCTTAACTAAAGAAGGTCTACTTTACAACCAGGTGTATTTTTTAGTAAAATACGTGAAACGCTGGTCGAACACCGTGCTGATCCTCGCCAGGCCGATCCGCGTCGACTAACCGAGCCGAGGATGATCAGTTCGGCTCGGTTTCATCGCGGATCTAGCTATAGCAGCAGCGACATTTACTGCGTATTCATATTATAATATCTCTTTGTACATATCCTTGAATGACTTTTAAATATTATTATTATTATTATTAATCGAACGTTCTCGAAGAGGGTCTTAAGCGGACAATTTACAATGATACCTCTTTAAATGGCACATTTTCTATTTCTATTTTCTTTTTTTTTTTCTAAGTGGTAAATTGTCATCTTCGTTATTTTATAAGGGTGACAATGTAATATATAATCGATAGTGAAGAACTTGGAAACAGTAGTGTTAAATTATGAAATAGATAAGGTGGGAAGATTAGTCATTTAGAGAGGTGATATTGTAATGTCTAGGATTCATAGATCGCAAAGGTTGTTCGTGAGCGTCGAAGGAAATAGAGACGGGCAGTACATAGCGACGCTATTTCCGTTTCTTCGAACGTTTGTAAGGCCAACATCCTCTCCCTTTTGCCTTTCTTTTCAACGTTTCTTAGGGATCTTTCTTCTTGCTATTCTTTTCTTTCTTGTTTCTTTCTTGCTTCTGTGCCTTTGGCGGTTCAAGAACACACGATCCATTCCAGAGAGCATTTATGCATTGATATTTCAAGATTCCATTTCTATCAAGAATTGTTTCTAACAGTTCTTTTATGTTTTTAATATCTTTGATATCTTTAATCCATAAAGAATAATTTATTAGGTGTAAATATTAATTTGGTGCCTTTAGTATTACGCCTTCTTATTTACTATTTTAAATTTGAATGTTTTCCCGAGCTTTTTAAAAGTGACGTGAAAATATAACAATAACATTTATTTCAATAATTGAAACTGTTATGGATTTTAAAAATAAATCTTTAGTTTAAAAAAAGCAAAGGCACAGAATTAATTTGTATACTTAATAATTATAAATTCCTTATTTAATGAAGATCTTATGTAGTCATTTTGATCAAACTTTAAGCTTCAAATTGATGTAGGATAAATGCTATTTCATGATACTTTTATGTCATATGTAACAACCATATTAATGAACTAATTATTTTCTAATCAAAAATGATTTCTTGTTTAACCAAAAATTAATGAAAAATAATCATTTGATTTTAAATTGAATTACATTTTTTAAATCAATCAAAAATGTTTTTGAAAGAAAATGGAATCCCATAGAAATAGAAAACGTTGAAAGACGATATAGTCTTGAATTGCTGAAGCCTCGAATCCTCCTTCTTCCCTTAATTTTACAAAACTACCTTGTCGTAGAGGTCTGTGCGAGTATGTGTGAGTGTTTATCGAAGTGCAGATAGCGCGAGTCAGAAAATTATAGACAATTCTTCGAATCTTCCACCCTATTACCCTTTGACCAACTCTTTCGTTTTTATTTAATGCCCCTTAATCCCTTCATTCTCTTCTATTCTTTTAATTATTTATATTAACTCGAAACGAGACGACTGCGGGTCGTGGTCGGCACCAAGAATACGGAACAGAGGAAAGCAACCTTTTGTATTTAATTTGTTTAATAAAATCTTGGATCATAGTACAACATTCCCGACCGTTTCAGTTCCGGAGCACAAATTTTTATTTCTTCTTTTTTTCTTTTACTCACACAAAGACGCGTCCCATTCGTTCCTTAAACCCTTTCGTGACGAACAAAATGGGATGAAACAGTACAAAAAGAAAATATTGAAAGGAAACGCGAGGAAACACGTTCAGTTTTCTTTTTTGTACATACAAGGCTATCGTCCACGGTTTTTCGTTTATTTTTTCATTCTTTGCGAAGATATCTCTGCGTACGGTATTTTTTTTCAGACGCGAATGGAACATTAGGGCACACGTGAAAAATGATTGTCATTTCGATTCTTTGCTCTGGGGGTGGGGATAGCATTTTAACCCTTTATTTGGCGACTCAGGGGAACAATTGGGAAGAATTTCATTTCTTCTATGTTTTAATCCATTAATTTCCAGAATTTAACTCACTCGATATCGCGTGATCACTCATAAGAGTGTAAATGTCGTAGCACACAACGATGGGGAAAAAATTTGTGACCATTAACTTTGGGCATTAATGGATTAAATTGATTCATTTAAGATTGAAAATAATAGTAGTGTTATAAGATTACTAATTACAATTAATTTGGTCAGTAATAAATAAATTCATATTTATTAGATAATTTTGCAATAAATTAATGCAAATATTGTAAGGTACTTAATATCCTTTTTAGAAATTTAAGTCCTCAAATATTTAAATTAAAAGATTAAATTTCTTTGTTTATCAAAAAGGAGGAAGATGTAAGAAAAAAAAGAAAAAAGAAATAAAATGAAAAGTGAAGAAGATAGCCAAGTAAAGGGTTAGAAGAATGGTATTTTTATAAGGTTTGCTACGAATTAACGATAAGCTTGAAGAGTTCAGAGGTCAATGAGAGGTACCGTACATAAGAGAAGAATCCGTGGGAACGAAACTGGTGGTAATACTACTGCTACTATTTTGTACGATACGATGTTTTTGTATATCTGTCTACCGTATGTATAGGAACGAAGTCTACCGATCATAATTAGATGGTTGAAATTGTATCGAACACGTATTAAACGATTTGTAGCGTGACGAAGAGAAAGTACCGGTTGTATTTACGTCGAGTCACACATAGATGTTGTTCCCATTTAATGTACACCTGTAAAATCCCTGTCAAACAATATATGAGCTATTAAAGGATTGGTAAAGAGTTTCTTGTACTTTATTCACATATACCACATATACTTTATTTTCCATCAAATTAGGCAAGGAGAAAGTGATTGAACACCAGATGTGACTTCATCACTAAAGTAGCGGTGCCAGTAAAAATAATTATTTAACGGTATTTAGCGGTAAAATAATTATTTAACAAACTTATATTTTGAAAAGACCGCATAGAATTAAGTATTTTTATAGTTCGACCATTATATAAAAGCGCCATCTATACAAAAACGGCGGAAACTACTCAACAAATTACCGACTTATCGACTGAACTTCCGACAGTCGATAATCAAACCTTCGGCAGTTCCAGGTCGATGGCTTGGGGTATCAGGGACCCCGATGCAACGCTGGTGCTTTCTGCATACAGACCTGATATCTCGGGGCATCAAAGACCCCGAGGACTCTATGCGCGCCGCCCTAATATCATCTTGGGGTGTCAGAGACCCCTGCGACTCCTGCGCACCGATCTAATAACATCTTGGGGTGTCAGGGACCCCAACGAACCTATATCAAGCTAGCCGGGAGGAATAATAAAATATGATTATTTTTTATTTTCCTTAGTGTATTTCGTTTGTAAATCGTTTGTGATTGATTGTGAATCTATTTTTAACGTTTGTGCTAAATTAGTTCTGTTGTAATTAGCAATTTTATTTCAATCATGATGTGAGCCGAAACTTTTTAGTAATTTTTTATAATAAACAGATTTTGTGATAACTGATAACTGTAATTGATTAGAAATTGTTTGTGATTTACAAATATATCATTTTCATTGTTTGTGGGTGAATAATTTCTTAATTATTTACAAGTTTGTTTTATAATAAATAATTGTAGTGCGCATGCGCTACAGATCCGGTCGTACCCATCACTACCTCGAACAAGTGAGTTTCGCGATTTGTTCGTTTTTAGGTCTTATATTTCGCTATTTGCTTCGGGGTCCTCGACACCCCGGTGCCATAATATTAGTATGCAGTCACCGGTACCTCGGGGTCTCAGATACCCCGAATACCGTAGGGTCGGTAATCTAAGAGTGTCATGGGTGCTTCGGGGTCCCTGACATCCCGGATGCTAAAATGTCGGTACGCAAACAGTGTCGCCGGTGCTTCGGGGTTCCTGATACCCCGGATACCAAAATCTCAGTATGCAGTGTCACCGGTGCATCGGGGTTCCTGACACCCCAAGATGATATCATGTCGGTATGCAGAGATAGTCACAGGTGCTTCGGGGTCCCTGGCACCCCGGATACTATAATATTATTATGCAAAGATAGGTACCGGCATTTCGGGGTCCTTAATACCCCGATATGATATCAGATCGGTACGCAAAGGGCGTCATTGGCGTAGCGGAGTCTTTAACACCCGAATATAATATCAGGTCCGTATGAAGAGGGCACAGTCAACATAATTTTTTTCTAGAGTTTATTTAATTTACTTCATTTATTTTTTTTTGCTTATTAAATAAGCTCATCGAAGGGGAATAACATTTATGATTACATCCCTCTTCTGGGTGTCAGCCGAGGACTCCATTTATTTTTATAATTTTATCCCTCATTATAGGCCAAGGCCGTCTCAGTATCCCCTACATCCCTGCATTCCTTACATTCCTGCAACCCTTAAATACCCTTTTTCTTTTTTTTTTTTTTTGATTAACGTGGTGGAAATCTTCAGAAAGACACCTTCAACCCCCCTGGGGAGGGGCCGGAGGTAGTGTAGGATTTTTACCCACTAAAACCACCACGGTGGCCTGCACTAGGGCGGTAGGGAGGGTCCTTTCACCCTCCGCCTTGTGCCAATCTCCACCGACATCGGGGGCCACACCCGGTGCCGGCATTCCTCGGGCCGCGTGCAGTGGAGACCGGGGCCCCAGCCCCGGACTCCTTCGGGGTTCCGTTACATCGTTGCATCCCTTACATCCCTGCATTCATTTTATCCCTACATTCCTTTCATCTCTACATTCTTCTCATCCCTACACTCTTTTCACCCCTACATTCCTTACATCTCTTCATCCCTTAAATCCCTACATTCTTTTCATCCCTACACTGTTTTCATCCCTACATTCTTTTCATCCCTACATTCTTTTCATCCCTACACTCTTTCCACCCCTACATTGTTTTCATCCCCTACAGTCTTTTCATCCCTACATTCTTTTCATCCCTACATTCTTTTCATCCCTACACTCTTTTCACCCCTACATTGTTTTCATCCCTACATTCCTTACATCGCGTCATCCCTTACATCCCTACATTCTTTTCATCCCTATATTCTTTTCACCCATACATTCCTTACATCTCTTCATCCCTTAAATCCCTACATTCTTTTCATCCCTACACTGTTTTCATCCCTACATTCTTTTCATCCCTACATTCTTTTCATCCCTACACTCTTTCCACCCCTACATTGTTTTCATCCCCTACAGTCTTTTCATCCCTACATTCTTTTCATCCCTACACTCTTTTCACCCCTACATTGTTTTCATCCCTACATTCCTTACATCGCTTCATCCCTTACATCCCTACATTCTTTTCATCCCTATATTCTTTTCACCCATACATTCCTTACATCTCTTCATCCCTTAAATCCCTACATTCTTTTCATCCCTACACTGTTTTCATCCCTACATTCTTTTCATCCCTACATTCTTTTCATCCCTACACTCTTTTCACCCCTACATTGTTTTCATCCCTACATTCTTTTCATCCCTACACTCTTTTCACCCCAACATTGTTTTCATCCCTACATTCTTTTCATCCCCTACAGTCTTTTCATCCCTACATTCTTTTCATCCCTACATTCTTTTCATCCCTACACTCTTTTCACCCCTACATTGTTTTCATCCCTACATTCCTTACATCGCTTCATCCCTTACATCCCTACATTCTTTTCATCCCTGCATCCCTTATAATAAATATATTATAAAGACTGCTTCGAGTAAAGGTAAGTAAAGGTAAGTAAAGGTAAGTTAGTAACTTTTTCCGCCGCCAGAGGGCGCTGATTCGACATCGAATCAGCGCCCTCTGGTTTCGGAAAAAGGAACTAAACCAGGCACCTATTTTGGCCCTCTGGCGGCAAAAATGTGAACTAAAATCTCGATGTCGAATCAGCGCCATCTGGTTTCGGAAAAAGGAACTAAACCAGGCTCCAATTTCGGCCCTCTGGCGGCAAAAATGTGAACTAAAATCTCGATGTCGAATCAGCGCCATCTGGTTTCGGAAAAAGGAACTAAACCAGGCACCAATTTCGGCCCTCTGGCGGCAAAAATGTGAACTAAAATCTCGGTGTCGAATCAGCGCCATCTGGTTTCGGAAAAAGGAACTAAACCATGCACCAATTTTGGCCCTCTGGCGGCAAAAATGCGAACTAAAATTTCGATGTCGAATCAGCGCCCTCTGGTGGTGAAAAAAGGAACTAAATCTGTATAAAATCGCAGGCCTTATAGCCGCAAAAATTTCAACTCTATTTCAGGGAGGTACTGGGATGTATGGAATGCAGGAATATAAGTGATACAAGGATGTAAAGGATACAGGTTTGTAAGGGATGCAGGGACGTAAGGGATGTTGAGATATAAAGAAGGCAGGAATGTGGGGAATGCAGAGATGTAAGGGATGTAGAGATGTGAGGAATGCAGGGATGTAAGGGAAGCAGTGATGTAAGGGATGAAGAGTTGTAAGGAATGTAGGGATGGAAAGAATGTAGGGATGAAGCGATGTAAGGAATGTAGGGATGAATACAATGTAGGGGTGAAGAATGTGTAGGGATGAAAAGAATGTAGGGAGTTAAGGGATGAAGAGATATAAGGAATGTAGGGATGTAAGGGATGAAGCAATGTAAGGAATGTAGGGATGAAAACAATGTAGGGATGAAAAGAGTGTAGGGATGAAAAGAATGTAGGGATAATGGAATGTCTGGATGTAAGGGATAAAGAGATGTAAGTGATAAAGTGATGTCCCACGAAGGGGGATAAAATGATAAATAAAGGAGATGGTGAATAAAATGGTATCGGTGTCTACAGATTAGTTTTTTTTTTTTTTTAACGTGAGGAAATCTTACATAAGACCCTTCACCGTCCCCTGGGGGAGGGCGGCGAGGGAGTATCAGATTCCTACTGATTAAAACCATACGGCGACCGACACTGACGCTAAAGGAGGGCCCTGGGACCTTACGTATCCTCGGAGCTTTCCACGCCTGGCACACTGGTGCCCATCTCGGGTGCCTAGCATGTGACTGACACCGGGGATCGCACCCTCTCTTCGGGCTGCTTAGAAGAGCGTCTGGAGCCCCCACTCCTGACGTCATTCGCTTTTGATATCGATAGCAACTAAGCACAATTAATTAATTTGACAATCGACTTTCGACTTTAGTGATTAATTATTTAATTGAGAAAATTTTGTTTTTTATCGAATACAAAAATGTCTACTGTGAATTAGTGCATGTTAATTACCCGTGAGTACGTGCAGACATGTTAATTAATAAATTTATGAATTTGTTAAAGTTACTTTAATTGTGACTTCAGTACATGAGGTTTTACATTATTATTCTTTACTTTATTTATAAGAACTATATCATACATAAATCATATTTTAAAAAATGGTGATTCAACAGAAGCTGTCGAATAGTAACATATTTGTAAGCTAATTTTACATTGAAAAAAGAATATAAAATTACAGAAGTCGTGAACTCTACGAAATGTGCCGCTGTTTGTGAAATGCAGCCGCAAAATGCAACCTTATTCACCATTTTCATAATCGACACGCAACATCGACGACCACCTGTTGCTTTAGACAGGAACCAACTGACAGTAAGGGGTTAACGAAGTCAGCTGTGCGTAAAATTGTGACTCGTGTGGAGTGGCTCTGAAACGTGTCTTTCTTTGCAACACGTTTCTTCCCCCTCTAGTACCTGTAAACATAACAAAAAACTTAGTTTTAAACTCAGAAGAATTTTTCAATTACTTTCTGCATAATTAAATCTGTTGTATTGCATTGTGCAAACAA